GATCAATTTATTCAGAAATTTGATCTATATTACTACTTATTCTATAAGGATTTTGATTAACATTCAAATCCTCAACCCTTTCATTTGTTTTTTTTTTCAAGGATTTTTGTCTTTGAAACCTACAGGTGTACCACGCTTTAGTCGTGCATTTTATTCATTAGAACTTTGTATTTTGTCTATAGGAATAACAATTTTAGCAGGTATATTTTCAGCAGCTATATAAGATCTAGTAACTCTGCTGACGTCACAAAAAAGCATCAAACAACTGATTTGCTATTCGCTTCAAAAATAAAATTCTTTGCACCTCTAATTCACTTTAACTTGTACGTGGATAAAGAAAAATGATTGGTATTTTTCAAATAATTTTATTTTTCAGTTGATTAGTTTTTCCTCATAATGTTGGGAAATATAACTCAACAAAATAACAATCAGAAAAACGAGTCATAAACGAATCACCAGTTAATAGTTCAAGATATTTAATGATACATGGTGATTCGTACCCGACATATATCCCCAATCTTTGTTGGAGACCCATTTTTGTACGTTGGGGCAGTGCAATTGGCCCATAAACTGCGTACCCAATAGTTCTCAAATGTGAAATATTCGGATTTTCATTGTACACCAATTGTATTGGGGAGTAGCTATGATAGCTTGTCGGTCTTAATTTTATCAGTGTTGTTGTATGCGTAATTGCATGTCCCCAAGTAGATACGAGAAGCTTAAATTTAATCAACATAGGTCTTAAAATTAATTGCAGTCTTTTTATAAGTGATTCAGGTATACCATTTTGTGTATGTACATGAGGTACATGATGTTCAATGTCAATTCCAATAGACATGCAATAATCATCAAATGTCTTAGATGAAAATTCCCCAATATTATCAAGATGAATTTTCTTTATTGGGTGATCTGGGAACTGAGCTTGTAATTTAATTATTTAATCAAGCAACCTCGCAAATGTCAAATTGCGGGTGGATAATAAACACACACATACGACCATCTAGTAGATGCATAGATAAATACCATAAAATATCGAAATAGTCTGCATAGTGGATCTAAAGGCCCACATATATCACCCTGAATTCATTCTAAAAATGTAGAGGATTCAGTTTCCACTTTTGCTGGTGATGGTCTAGTTATTAACTTCTCTTTTGAGCAAGAAACACATTTAAGCTTATTTGTATTTAATACCCATTGATTTTTTAAGTTATGGCCATAGGTATTTTCAATAAGTCGTCTCATAATAGTATTATCGGGATGCCGAAATCGGTCATGTCAAATCATAAAATCCGTAGACTTCTGATCTACCATATATGTTTCAACTGCATTAATCTTTGTGCAATCTAATCTGGAAGACAATGAAGACAATTTTTTTTAATATATATTTATGTCCATCAATGAATTTTGTAATCAACAAAAATTCATTATTTGTCTCACTTGATGTCTCAATATGATATCTATTTATGCGAATATCATTAAAACTCATCAAATTTATTTAGGATTTACTAGAATATAATGCATTTTGGATACAAGTTTTACTCATTCGGGGAGAAATATTATCGTTCTTCCAGAGCCCTAAATTAATTTCGCACAACTACTTATAGTATTCACCTCAATTTTTTTTTAACTTCATATTGGTGAAATATTTCTTATATTTCAGAACGGTGTGCGTTGATGCACTATCAATGAGACATAAATTATCTTCCATATTATTCATTATAACATGCTCAACACTCATATTTCTTTTTCAGAAATTTCACAATATGCACATTCAAGATGCTTAATATACACCATCAAGGGTTTTAAAATAAGAACCTTCAGAGTTCTTAATATACACCTTCAAGGTATTCAATATACATCATCGGGGATTTTCAAAATATAACATTCATGGTTATCAAAATATGTACCTTCTGGGTACATAAAAAATCACACATATCATTGTGTGTTTATAAAATTATCATCATCACTCGCATTATTTTCAGATAAATTCATTTATTAAATATTGACATCTTCGAGTGCCGTTTTCTCTATAATAGCTGGTGGAAAAATTGCAAATTTATGTTAGTAATAATTGTATTGAAAAAATTAATTGAATAAATAGCTCAAAATTTTGGTGGAGTTTCGGTAGCACTTTAATATTTTCTTATTGTATCAGAGCAGAACTTCGGGATATTTTTTTTCTTCGGACAAATTTCATAACGTGTTTGAGTAACTAAAAAAATCATAAAAAAATACGCTATCTTTACATTAGCACTTCCTCTGCAAAGTCTCGTACTAATAACGTGTTATAAATATATAACAAAATATATATATAATAATACAACATAATATATAAGTATACAAAATATAATATATGATTATATATACATAACCGAAAGTGTGTTTATATGTTTTGAGAGAGAAAGCATAAGAGAGAGAGTGAGAGAGATAGAGAGGGGATAGAGAAATTAAAATTTAAAATGTGTGTTTCATTCCACAAATTCCACCATTTATTTGGTATAAGTATGAATATTTATAGTCATTTCATAACAATATTAGTCATCACGATGACTTGATAATCCAATTAAATGCACGTATGCTATATGAATGAATCATAACAACTATTACATATTATTACTTTTCAGTAAAAGCATAAATATTTTTACACAACTAACTCCTAAAATGTTAAAATACTAATATTTTTTAATTTACGTGTCAAAAGCTAATATCCGCTTTAAAAAAATTATAATGATTATCCTTAAAATTTTCTCAATCTTCTCTAAATTTAATGTGTCAAAGCATTTGAAATTCACTTCAACTTAAATTGTAAATATAATCTTTATTATTATTATTATTATTATTATTATTATTATTATTGTTATTGTTTTTCATACACAAAGAATAAAAAGATAGCGAAAAGAGAAAGGAAAGGAAAGAGAATGCGAGAGAAATAGGGATACAACGACAGTGAGAAAGAGAAGAAGGTGCGAGGAACAAAGAGAAAAAAAACAAAAAGAAAAAAAAAAGAAAGAAAAGAAGAAAATGGGAGAGAAAAACATAAAAAAGATAATTAAAAAAAAAGAAAAAAAAAAAAAAAGAAAACAATTTGATTGCATACTCATTTCCATAAGGCCACATTCAATCCTCTCTTAATTTTTTGCATTGGATATTAAAATTATTGTGTAGAGTTTTTATTATTATTATTATTATTATTATTTGATTAAAAGAACCTGAATAAAATTAGTGAGACCAGTTAAATTCATGTCACTACAAATGCTCTTATAAATAAACGGAAGAAATATATTTTCATTGAAAATCGTAAATACATCGTAGTAGAAATGTTGAAAAAAATATGCTAACTAAACACATTTTCATGTAAAATGCTTGTGAATGCTACTTTATTAAAATAAACTTACGGAAGGATTAAAATACAATGTTAAAATCGTAAGCTATTTAAAGCAAACTTATATACAACAGTTCATAAATAAATATATATTTTCGTACCAAGGTAAAAATTTTATACATAAATTATGTGGAATCAAAGTGGAACATGAACTCGAAGCTAAGGCTGTGATATCATATTAAATAATTTGAATGACCGTTTTATTTAAAAGTTAAACAATCCTTCGAATAATCTAATATTATCAAGATTAATTAGTTCCCTTGATATATTTGGTTTAGTGATTATGTATATCTTAACTGATTTTTTTTTTAATATCATTTGATAAAAATTAAATTTCTACTATTCAAATTACCACAACATGTTCATGTGGTAAAAATAGTGTTAAAAAACATAAAAAAATACAAGTAACAAAAATAAAAAGTACATACTAATTTTTATTTTTATTTTTCCCTAGAAACTAAAATCAACTTATTATGTTGACAAATATTTTAATCTAATTCTCATTTATAAATATATATATATATAGATATAGTACTTTTGTCTAAAATAGATGATTCATTTATTTATAGAAAATAATTATTTAGGTAGTGTAAATTTATAAGTTATTAATAGTAAATTATAATATTATTTTATTATTTTTTATATAAATAGTGTTGTTAGTATTTTAAAAATATAAATTAATATATATTATTAAAAAAATTAAAATATATGTTTAAATATTTTTAGTATTGTATTTCAATTAAATATATTTTCTCTGTTCAAAAACAAAAATTTCATTTTGCTATATTCTTTCGTCTCAAAACAATAATCGCATTTCTATTTTTGGTAACTAACTCTCCAAATTTTTTTACAAAATTATCTCATTTTTTCACAATAATTCAATAAAGTATGAGCATTTTGGTTCTTAGAAACACTTTTATATCCACTCTCAATATAATACTATTATTATTTAATTATCGTGTTCATCTCAAATATCCATATTATTTTGAGATGAATGAAGTATAATATACAAATATTATCTTATACATAATAAAAATTTTATATAATAGAAATGTATATATCTATAAAAAATTCAGAAATTTTAATTATTTTATAAAAATAAAAATTTAAATGAGTTAAGACAAACTAAAAAACTAATCAACTGTCTAAAGTATAAATAGTTTTAGATAATATTATAGTTTAAATTAAATATAATTATATAGTAAAATATTTATAAAGTTATAAATATAAATACAAAAAAATAATACTTTCTCAATTCCATCTATGACGTTCGGGTTACCATAGACAGTATAAGAATAATTTATTTTAAAATAAAAGAACGTAACTTAAGACGGACAAAAACGACAATGTAGACTGCGATGGATGGTGTATTATATTAATCGTATTATATTATTAATTTTTCTATATTATTAATAATTATTTTTTATAAATATTAATATTATTTTTATTTTGAAGATTTTGACCTAAATATCAACTATTCACATTTCACAACCGTCGTTGCACAACCCAATTTTCTCGCCGGCGTAAAAACCGGTATGGGTTCGGTTGAAACAGGCGAACCGGCGGTTCGAACCGATTGGGCGGCGTATCTGCCTGTGGTAGATAAAGCGATAAAATGGATGGTGGCTTCGTCTCTTGGAGGGAATAATCAATCAATAAAAACATGGGGACGGTGAAAGCGGTGGCCATCATCTCCGGCGGCATCGACAGCAAAGTCAAAGGCTTCATCCAGTTCACTCAGGATACAGCTACTGCCGGCAATTTTAGTACTACCCAGGTGACAGGAAGAATCAGCGGCCTGACTCCCGGCCTTCATGGATTTCATATCCATGCTTTCGGAGACACTACCAACGGCTGCAATTCCACTGGTTGGTTGCCTTGCTTCTACCTTTCCGCCCTCTTTTCTTTTTGTTCTTGTTGTTTTGTTTTCCCTTTATATCAATCAATAATCCCAATCAGATGTGTCTCTTTTCAATTGAATAGTTTATCAGATTCGCTGTGATTTCTTTGAATCCAATACTGTGGAAATTGCTCTTTGAATTGGAAGTTTTTCAACAACTGTAGCAACCATTGTTATCAATGGTCGCAATGTGGACACTCAGTTTATTGACTGTTGAAATAGTTCAGGAGAAAAAAATTGGAAAATTTTCTTCTGCCTCTATTCGGAGCATTTTGAACTTTGTAGGTAAATTCTGTCTTGCTAATTCCTTTGTCTTTGCATTCACCTAAACATCCTTTCTTCATTGAGTCCCATATCGGTTTGAAGATGTCTTTATGAAGGATGGTCTCCAAAATTGTGCGATTAATGGCTTAGAATAGGTCATTCTTGGCTTTGACATCTTTCAATTGTAAGGTTTCGACCTTAGCTTTTTGCGGGTTAGTCACTTTAGCTATGGTTTCCTACTGCAGTCTCTATAGCTTCCCACAACTTTTTGGACCTTAGAAAAAATGTTCCATTAACATACACCAATAATCATACCATCGAATTGCTGGATCGCAAGAATGGAAAAAGTGCCTATGGACATATTATAAGAGAAAACAAAAGTGAATTTAGAGTTTCGTTTCCTATCAAACACAGTGGGGACACAACTACTATGGGCACACTAAGATCCCATGCCACTGTTAAATTAAAGTGCAAACATAGAAGGAAGAATAACATAGAATGAAATAGCAATACCATTATAGTCAAATATTTTTCTCCATCTACAATGCACAGCAACTAAACCTATTTATTGTTGGATATCTCAACTAAATGACTTGTATCTCGCAATTTAAAAAGAACTCAGAATTGCACGACCCCAAGGATTTGGACAAATAATAACCCTCTGACCTGCTAAAGACGAATTTGCATTTGCTCTTTTGTGTTTTCAAAACCCATATTTTTCTATTTAATTTATTATCACCCTCACCTATTTCTATATAAAACATCACATTGAACAACTACTTTTACCTTAAATATATCATAACAAAAAATACAATGTATATAACATCCTTTATATTTAACAAATTTTGTTTTGTCCTATTAACATGGAGGCATGGAGCTAAGTGTCCATTGTGAATGTTCCTTAAGAGAGAAGCACAAAAAGTAGAAGTAAAGACACTAATAATCGAGTGTGATGTGTGTTTCTTGAAACAAAGCTTAATGAAAATGAGTTTTATATAATGATGAATTGTTATTTGGTTGGTAATATACACGCTTAAAAGCATTCAGTTGGTTGGGCTTTGCCTCAATTAAGCTGTCGTCTAACCTCAATCTAAACCTAAACTTAAACAACTGTTTCATTTGACCAAATATATAAAGTTGTGCCTGGTGAGTACATAGGTTTTTCCTCACTAATAATTTATTTCCCACATACTCTTTCAGGGTCTCATTTCAATCCATTGATGAAGGATCATGGATCTCCAGAGGATGTAGAGCGTCATGCAGGTGATCTAGGGAACATTTTGGCTGCCTCAGATGGTGAGTGCCTGATTTAATCACTTGCTTTCTCTGTAGAATAATTAGTATACCGAGCAAACTACTAGATTTGGTCAACTTCTGACATTGCAGGGGTTGCTGAAATATCAATCACTGACAGGCAGGTAATGTATATTTGGTAGGTTTTAACATACTTATTAAATGTATTTCTCTTTCAACAAATGATAACCATGAAAAGAATTGAGTTAACATTTGTTGTTGCTACAATATGTATCTTTTTTCTTTTCTTTTCTTTTTTTTTTTTTCACTTAGGTAGCAACAATTAATATGTGATGTTACTGGAAATTTAAAATACGGAAACAAGTTTAACTTTCGAGCATGATTATTGTTTCTGTTGCTGATATGTTTTAGTTGCACTCATCCCTGGCAGTCTTAGAACTTAACTGCAAGAAGACAGTGAAACCTTCTAACCTACATAGTATAGTGCCGAAAAAGATTGTCACTATGCATTAAAGGTTTTCTACCCAATTTCATCATCGCAGTTTCTTCAGGCCATGAGCTGTGTTGTTTATGTGGACTTTCAATTATCAAACGAATGCATGCTGTTTCTAATGCAAATTTGGTGTTTGTGATTGAAATGTTACTTGAATTGCATCACATAATCATTCACTAGCCTTATCCAGTTACTGCTGGGAAGCTAATGTCCCGAGCTATATTATCTAGATATTGTTGTGTTTTGTCACCTTACAATCTGTCGAAATTTTGTTTATCTCAGATACCTATTGTAATTAATACTGGGAATGTACTAATGTAAGAGGATATTATAGATTAAAGATCAGTTCTGCAATACTTGAATTATTTCATTTTCACAGATCCCAATGATTGGCCAGCATTCCATCGTGGGAAGAGCTGTTGTTGTGCATGCTGATCCTGATGACCTGGGAAAAGGTATCGTGCACTCAATATAATGATTCCAGCAGCAGAAAAACTCTGTTTGGTATACGAGTGAATGAGCCGCAATGTTTGGGTGTTGTACAGGAGGACATGAACTAAGCAAGACAACTGGCAATGCAGGTGCAAGAGTTGGATGCGGTAACCTTTAATTTGCATTTAGATTTTAGATACTGAGCATGTTTACCTGAGCTAATTTAATAATCTCCATGTTGTAGATTTACAACATGAATATTATTCAGGGTGTGTTTGTATGTCTTTGGAGTGTTTTTGTTGTTTGCCATGTTTGAAGTAGAAATTTTTCGAAATAGAAATAGGTGTTGGGAGTGATGTTTAAAATAGAAAATTAGTTGGATATGGTATTTTTGAATGGAAATTGAGTTCTGGATGAGAAAAGGGAATTGGAAAGTGATTAGTTTTTAAGAGAAAAGTTGTTTACTTAAAACATGATTGAAAACACCGACAGACACACCTTTTGAAGCATAAAATGATGAACAACAGCGAGGATTTTTTTTATTATTTTTCAGAGAAATTTCTTTTAGGGTTCTATAGTCAATTGATGGGTTCTTTGTTTTATCATGTTGTGGCTCTGAATGTCGTCTACTATAGCAGTATCTAAAGTTCAACTGTTACCCCATTTTAGCGAATAATGTGGCAGGATTAAAGAAAGAGATAAGTAATATAACAACGGCAGACGGATGGTTTGATTTTCTCACACTCTTCGTGGAACCTATAATAAGAAGATTTTGTGGACAATGTCTTGAAAATCACTTATGCTTTTTTGTTCATTGTTTGAGATTCAGATTGATTATTTTAGCTGACTATGGTTCATACAAGGTTTTAGCAACACTTGAATTGAATGGTTTCGACCACTTTGAAATGGATTGGCAGTCGTCCACTTCCATTTGCATCGATCACAAATGGAAGTGATGAATTTTATGATCTGACGTTGCTGTGGTCCTGTTTCGTGTGCAGGTATCATTGGCCTTCAGTCATCTGTTTAGATATGAACTCGGAGCAAATAACAAGTACTGTGTAAGTCGACGACGATAGTAAGCCTTTTGACCTCAAGTCATTTACTTGTTATTTGGTTTTAGTTATTGAACTTCCCATGTGATGAATCAAGGCTATACAAGAGTTGTAAAAAAATGCCCAATTAGTAACCAACCATATAAATAATTTTTGTGCATATTGTATAATTTTAATGCCAAGTGATTAAGCAAATCCTACAAAAGGTTATCCCTTTACTTTACACTTTTGATTTTGGATCTACAATCAACAAATTGGAACCATTGGATTAAGCAAATTTCTATTATGTTCCTGTTTGTTCTGGCTACTTTTATTTTATTGCTGTAACTATTTGGTGACTGGACCATATAATTAACTGCAGTGTGTATGTATGTATATCTAGTTTCTTAATTTCCTGCACTTGTTTCATAGTATTATTTTACTAGAAATGATATATATTTAAATAACTTGAATAAATGGGTGTTCAATCTTATATATAGCTGGTTCAAAAGCATTAGGTATGCTATAGATTTATATCTAATTTGTCAGCGCCATAATTGTATATGGCTGGGCAGATAACATGTCCTTAAAAAACTTAAATAAATTATCGATCAATTATTTATTTATTTAAAAAAATTATTTAACATATGTTACATTTTTTATTTATATAAAATTAATTTAGATCTTTATTTAGAATCGAACATCAATTTTGGACAAAGAGGGTGTTTCATTCAATGTGTTTTGTGTATTTTTATTAAAAACACAGGGTGTTATATAATTTGTCCGTCTACATATATTTATTATGCATTCTTTTATATTGTCTACATAATTTCTATATTTCAGATAAAATATATATTTTCAAATAATTTCACAAAACAAACACACAATATCCCACGTACCGTATCTGCTACACTGTAGACACAGACACAGAATAATTAAGAATGTATTAATGAAAATAATTATCCTATAATATAAATAATTATAAATTAAGATTAAAATAACTAATTAGTTTAATTAAAATAAAAAAAATAAATTAAAAAATTTAAAATGAGATTAAATTGTGTAATCATTCTCCAAAAACGAAAGTGACAATATGGTCCGTCCGGAGGGAATATTATTTAAATTAAGATTCAATTTAAATCCAGCAAATGCCTTTGTAGTCAAGAAATGTAGAGGTACATTAAGATTCAATTTAAATCCAGCAAATCCCTTTGTAGTCAAGAAATGTAGAGGTACTTGTAAAAAAGAAAAAATTATAATGAATTAATGGTAAATGAAATCATCTACTAGACTACTATTTAAATTTAATTTGGGGGGTGGGGGTGGGGGTGGGTGTGTTCTTGAGGTTGATTGATTATACTAATTACCAACTAACAGCAACAGGCAGGCAACCTGGATTGGTGGGGTGGGGTGGGGCGGGACAAGCCATTGCTGCCCATCAGCCATGGCTGTTAAAGCTTGGAGACACCACCTTCGCTCATTTCGACTGCAATTAAAAAATAAACGTAACGTCTCATCATCCATATATATAATTGAATCAAGCAACAAAAACAGTATAATAAGCATATAGAGATATAGATATATATAATTATGGGTTTAGAGTACAGCAGAAATTAATAAATAAACATAAGAAATCGAAAAATCAGATCAGATGGAAGACTAATGAATGGAAATGAATTAAGTAACTATATGTATATATATGTAAAGCAAATTAATGAATGAATGGATGAAATAAATATAAATATAAATATAAATACCTGGGGAAGAGAAAAACCAGAGAATTGCTGCACAGAGGATGAGTAGAAGGGGAATGGCGTGCAGCGCAATAACAGATGAAGACGATGATGATCCATTAATATTCGTTGATTTCTTATTCCTCATCTGGTTGTTGTAGATGGGAATTACCATGTCGATGTCGTGGTGCACCCTGCCCCCTCCATTCATACCCATACCCATACCCATAGATCTGTCGTCGATACACAAATTAATACTAATCAATTTGTGCAACGGAAATGAATTAATCAATTGGCAATAGCAAATGAAGAAGGAAGAAGAAGAAGAAGAAAAGAAGACGAAGAAGAAGAAAAAGACGACGAAGAAGAAGAGGGGAAGCGAGAGAGAGAGAGAGAGAGAGAGAGGGAACGAGGCGGGCGCGGACGCGGTGCCGCTGCAGCTGTCCTCGTTCACTTCTTTCCTGGTCAACGTTCCCAGCTCTTTATTATTATTATCATTATTAATTATTAAAGTACATTATATTCTAAGAATTTGTTTGCATAAAAATTGATTTTGTTGGCCCAAATTCGATCCAAATCATACAGCAACAATATCTCAACACAAAAAATATGCACATGAGTAATAAAGACAGCTTTTACAATCAGACTATAAATTCGATCAATTCATTTTTTCGATCAATTCGTTTGGATCTTCATTGGTTTGATCAATTTAGGTCATTTCTTTGATTGGACTCAAGACAAATTGGGCCGCGTCTGTCCATCATTGTTCGTCCTCTAATCAAACAATCTGCAAACAACATCAACCAAAATCCAAAAACAAATACAATTTAATTTTAACAATCTCTCCTTTTTTGGTTGATGTTTACCAACCTTAGTAGGGGATATCTTCTCAGCATTACACACGATACGCACACATTCAAACCACTGTAAACTCCCCATAACCAAGAATAAATGCATCAAACAACATGCAATCCACCACCCCTTTAGGAGACATCAAACAAAAAGCCTTCAACGACAAAATAGGGGTTGACGGTGTTCCAGAATGTAAAAGACTTCCCATTAATCCATGCACATCAGCTTAATTATCCATCACAATCAGCAACAATAACTAATGCGCACAAGCAAGCAACTCATCAAATCCATCAATCCAATATCAAATCATATCAAGATGAAAATAAATGATTTACTCCTTCAATCGCAGCTTTACTCTTTCCATTTGCTCTCCACCGTGGGAGACAATCAAGCCAAAACGGATTGAATATGCATTTGACTTTAACTAGAGCTAGAATGAAGTAAATGCTTTCCCATCTCCTTTACTAGATTATTTTCTATTGATCCGGACAATCTCTGGACATAGTTGTCCTCAAATACTAACAACAACCAAAAGATATAAATGACGGCAACTTCTTCTCTCCCTTTAGGAAACAACAATCCAAAAAGGAATGTCAATCCATCGAGATATTGAATTACTCTTCATCCATCACCGGCACCTCATCTGCCTCATTGATTTCGCCAACACCTAGAACATCTCTTCCAAACAATTTTAATGGACTAACACACTTCTCAAAACACCTGACCCAAACGGATTATCTCCTCAAAAATAGAGTGAACAAGCTCAAACCTTCATAATATGATTAATTTTAAATATTAGAGATATGAATTAAAGCATGTAATTAATCATATTGGGATAATGACCATTTTAATACCAAATATACTCATTTGATTAGGATGATGACCATTTTTTTTGCACAGATACACTTTCGTGCTCGATCACTCTTCCAAGACAACAACCATTACCGCAAGAAGCACATATCAAGATTTTGTCATAACTTTTCACGTTGATTCGAATTTAAAGCTTTGATTTGAATGTCTTCCAGTTGCTTTGCTTTCTGCACATGATCAAGACTGCATACTCTATTTTCTAAACCTTCAATAACATTGTTCAGTTTGATTTCGGATATGCAACAGTGAGCGTCTCCAAGGATATGCTTTGGTGAATGCTTCTTGTTGGCTTTGGTAAGAATTTTTATTAATGGAAGGTTGCTGCTCCCACGGGGTTGTTTATGGGATGTCCAAACGCAATCTGACTCCCCTTTATTTACATCAATCAAATCTAATTCCTCTGTGCCCTGTTTCAGTTTAGATTCGTCATCATTTGAATTTTGACTTACCTCACACAATTCATTGTGGTAGTTCACATTAACAGACTTCATTCCAATGGTCTGTGGGGAGAGAGCAACTAGACATGTTTCTTGATTCACCTTAGGTCTTCACACTAGTCTCGCCATAATTTTGTTCTTCAAATGTTTTGATGGCCAAAATACTTTTCTGCTCAGTCATAAATCTTGTCTGATTCGATCACAGTGCAACTCTTGGTGTCCAAATTATTTACAGTACCTACTGTTTGATAGTTGTCTGCTCGACCACTAGACATTCCTTCGATTTCCAGAATGTTTCGAAATAGCAATCAGTTTACCACATTCCTTGTTACCAGTTGATTCAAAGAGCAATCCACCATTGACAAATATTGTTTGAGAAGTTCCAGCCCCACCCGTGTAGCCAATTCCACTATGATCACCATATGACTTCCCAACATTCAAAACTTCATCAAGTTTTTGTTTCATTTTCATCAATCAATTGATTTCACTCAGTAGGTCTTCATTTTCGTTTTCCAACTTGCTAATTTTCTCCAGATGTTCATTCGAGACTTGAAGAATTTTTTTCTTTTCATTTTTGGTAGAACGTTCATCATTCATTTCAGCTAATTTTTCATTCACTTCCATTAATACCTCGATCTTCTTATCCAGCCTCATAACACAGGCCTTCAGTTTGTCATTTTGCACAACCAAGACTTTATGCTCAGCAACCAGCACATTATACGCCTCAACCAGTTCTTCATAGCTTATTTCAGTAAATTCAACATCGTCCTTTGCCTCTCTCTTCTCATCATCCTCTACAGTAAAAGCAACCAATTTACCCACCATATTTTCTTGTTTCTCTTAGACAGTTCCTTGTTCCTCGATTTCATCGTCACTCAATGTAACTCACATTTCTTTCTTATCTTTTCTCTTGGTAGTTGGACACTCAGCCCTGACATGCCCATACCCATTGCATCCATAACATCTGATGTCATTCGGTATGCCTGATTTCTTGGACACTTTAACCATCTTAGACCCATCACCCTTCTGAACACTAGCCTTAGTGGGGGCACCAAAATTTTGAACATTCTGCACAAGGCGTATGTCATTTGTTCCGACTGCATTCAGACTTCTTGTCTGATAACTCTGTTGTTTCAACTGTCTGACTTTTTTATCCTGGATTATACAAGCCATTTGTTTTGTGATGAGAGCAAGTTCTCCATCACTGTCTTCAGCAACAGCAGTTTCAAATGTAATAGCAACTTGGTGTTGAGCTTTAGATGCCAAAAAGTTTATCTCATAAGTCTTCAAAATTCCTATTAGCCCATTCAGTGAGATAGTGCCCGTTTTATCCAACTCCTCTAGAGATGTGACTTTCACAGTGAATTTCTCATATAATGTTCGCATCCATTTGTCCATCAGCTTCTTGTCATTATATTTCAGACCCAGCAGATGTGCTTGACTTACCAAAGACTTGAAACATTTTGTATATTCAAGAATGGATTCGTCTTCCCTCAAGAACAATCGATCGAACTCTCTTTCAAACGTCTGAAGTTTAGATTTCTTAACCGTCTTGTCACCTTCGAAGGTTTCAGTTAAGGCATCCTATGCCTCTTTAGCGGTAGTGCAGGTAGACATAATCTCGAATAGCGAAAGACCCACTCCACCAATGATGGCATTGATCGCTTTTGAGTTAGTATTGCACCGAGCTCTTTCTTCAGAAGTGAATTCGATCCTAGGCTTCTCCACAACTATAATTTCCATCTTATGATCTCATTTCTCTGTCGGATTAACCATAATGGTCTTCGGAGAGGAGTCCAGCCATGAACAACCAAATCCCAAGCTTCTTCGTTGATTGATATAATGAAATACATCATTTTCATTTTCCAATATTAAAAGTTGTCTTATCTAGAAATAGAGGTCTTATTAAGAATGTTGTTCCTTCCTTCGCTGCCATGATCATGGATCACTCTTCGGTAATATTTGTGAAGAGGGAGCTCTGATACCAATTGTTGGCCCCAAATTCTCTCCAAACCATACAACAACAATGTCTCAACACCTAAAACACGCACAAGAGCAACAAAGATAACTTCCACGATCAGATTGTAAATTCGGACTAGTTGTTTGTTGAACGATCGAACTGCGGATGTAAATACTAGTAAGACAAGAACATAAAGTACAAAATAATTGTTAACCCAGTTCAATAATTAACGACCTATATCTGAGGGGTTCCAACCCAGGCGAGTTTCACTATCAAAGTAGTCAAAACATGAGGTTCCATGAATACAATTTGAGTCACAACTCTCAAGAAATTACCACCCTATTTCTTGAAGATATCCCACCGCTAATCTATCATCCTCATCCCAACCAACTCAATGAACTAGTGTCTCTTCCTTTTTCTTTTTACCCTAGAGCCTACAAACTATCTCATTCTTCCTTAAAGAAATTACATTCAGATTTTTCTATGCTACCCAAATTTATTTTACTCCACTCTATATTCTATAATAAAGCTCTATCTCCATACATGATAATATTCACTCTAACAAACTCAACAAGAATGAAATCTTTTCCTCCATTGTCTCTTCTTACATCCACAAAATTTGTTACAACAAATTTCTGTTATTCCCACACATAGATTGGGGGGACTAACGACTTTTCTCGATCAATTCGTTTGGGTCTTCATTGGATTTTTCAATTTGGGTAATTTCCTTATTTGATTGGACTCAAGACAAATTGCGCTGCATCTGTCCATCACTATTTATTCGTTAATTGGACAATCTGCAAACAACATCAAAAAAAAAAAAAAATACAATCTACTTTTAACAGATATATTATTCTCAATATATAAAAATTATAGTAGTAATATATTTTTTTCTATTTTAACTTAAAAAATATATATATATTTTACAATTTTCATTTGTTTTATTTAAAAGTAGTTTTTATTATAATAAAATTAACAATACATTAATATCCAAATATTATTTTAATTTTATATAAATTACAAATATATTATTATATATACAATTAATTTATTATAGTTTATTTTTTTGTCAATTTAAAAGTCTCGGATATCATTTCTATTTATTTACTATGGTCAAGATCATCCCAAATCAGAAAAATACCCTCCCATGCACAAATAAGCTATAATAATTGGTGTTTGACTGTGTTTCTGTAATTATAACTTTTAAATAAAAAATTAATTATTATAAGTAATTATTTATATAGAATTTAGATCTTAAAAAATAATGGATTAAAAAAAAAAAAAAAAAGTAATATTAGTTGTAGTAGTTGTTTGATTAATAAATGCC